AAACAGGTCCCTCTTGCAGCCTCCCCATGGAAGAGAGAGATCTGCCTTTCCAGCCAGTGGGAGGGAAGTGAGAGATGGAAAGAGGAGGGTGCAGAGCTGGGTTTGTTTACAGGCACGGCCCCAGAGCCTGCTGGAAACCATCCTGGGCCCCAGGGCTGTCCCCAAAAAGCCTCCCAGGTCCCTCCGCCTTCTCCTTTCGGCTCCAAAAAAGGCTCACTCCCTCTTACATAATGGGGACGAGGGGCGGCGGGGCTGAGATCTCATCCCTTTTTACTTAACAATTACCTTTTTCGGTCATCCAGCCTTCCTCTCCCCGTTAAACTGACAGTCAGGGGAGATGGATAGTGCCCAGCTCCAGCTACTGCAGCTACTGAGAGGGGAAAGAGGAACGTGGTGGGATGCTCCAGGCAGAGAAGGGCCAAGGGAGCAGGGTAGGGAGGTCCCATCATCAGCACGGTCACAGCCATCACTCAATGGCACCATAGGGGAGGCTGTGGGCACCAAGGGAGAAAGCCCCCCAAAGGAGAGGGCTCTCTGGAGAAGCTGGACCTTGTTCTTGGGGGGTTTCTGTTGGATTCTTCTGCTCTGGCCCAAGGCAAACTCAGTGCAGAGAAGGCTGTGGAAGGAGAACACTCCTCAGCAAAGACAAACTGGGTGAGGAGCATGAATCCGGCAGCAATCCCCTTCTGAACATCCAAAACATGGCTTTTTTAACCTCTTCAAGGAGGAGGCCATCTCCTAGAGGAGGAGGCCACCATCTCCTAAAAGAGGAGGAGGCCACCATCTCCTAAAAGAGGAGGAGGCCACCATCTCCTAAAAGAGGAGGAGGCCACCATCTCCTAAAAGAGGAGGAAACCTCCTTTCCACCACCCACCACCTAACCCAGCCACTGATAGGAACCAAGAAGGACCTCATCTGATGGAGGGATGATTCCTACTCACACCCTGTGACCAGGAACAGTTCAGAGACAGGGTGTGTGCCCACCCGCTGCCCCGTGGTCATCTGTCTGTTCTCAGAGGTGGGAGGAACGATGCCTTGAATAGCACAGGCTCCCAAAACAGCTTCTGGTATTTTCTCCACCTGTAAATGGGAGGAGGCCACCATCTCCTAAAAGAGGAGGAAACCTCCTTTCCACCACCCACCACCTAACCCAGCCACTGATAGGAACCAAGAAGGACCTCATCTGATGGAGGGATGATTCCTACTCGCACCCTGTGACCAGGAACAGTTCAGAGACAGGGTGTGTGCCCACCCGCTGCCCCGTGGTCATCTGTCTGTTCTCAGAGGTGGGAGGAACGATGCCTTGAATAGCACAAGGTCCCAGAACAGCTTCTGGTATTTTCTCCACCTGCAAATGCCAGGCAGTGCCAGCCAGAAAACCAGTGCCAGGGCTGTGCCAGGTCTGGCTGAGACACGATCAAGTTGCAAATACTTAAAAGGAAGAGAAATGCCAGCAAATCCACGCCGTGGAGGGGCAGCTGGCAGCAGGTCTGGGCTAGGGACCTCTTGATCTGCTCAGGACTTCTTGATCTGCTCTTGATCCCCCTCCCTATTCCCAATTCTCCTCTCATACCAGACCCCAGCTTGCAGGACAGGCAGACACTGACTGCTCTCAGGGCAGTCCCTGCATCCACTGAAATGTCCTGCCGAGCACCAGCCCTCCATGTGGGCTTCCAGGCTCACCAAGAACCTGCCTACCCTTTGATTTGAGGTAGGAAAACCTCCACCCTAACACTCTTCCCTTTCAGGAGACTGAAGTGTGACCGAACTTCTTGATCTGCTCTTGATCCCCCTCCCTATTCCCAATTCTCCTCTCGTACCAGACCCCAGCTTGCAGGACAGGCAGATATTGACTGCTCTCAGGGCAGTTCCTGCAGACACTGAAGTGTCCTCCTGAGCCCCAGCCCTCCATGTGGGCTTCCAGGATCACCAAGAACCTGCCTACCCTTTGCTTTGAGGTAGGAAAACCTCCACCCTAACACTTCCCTTGCAGGAGACTGAAGTGTGACGATACCAGACCCCAGCTTGCAGGACAGGCAGACACTGACTGCTCTCAGGGCAGTCCCTGCATCCACTGAAATGTCCTGCCGAGCACCAGCCCTCCATGTGGGCTTCCAGGCTCACCAAGAACCTGCCTACCCTTTGATTTGAGGTAGGAAAACCTCCACCCTAACACTCTTCCCTTTCAGGAGACTGAAGTGTGACCTTCTGGGATGGGGTGGTAGCTATGACAGGCTGGAGAGGTGGGCCCAGGTGAACCTCATGAGGTTCAACAAGAGCAAATGCAGGGTTCTGCACCTGGGCCGGAACAATCCTCCCCATCAGTACAGACTGGGGGGTGAGGTATTGGAAAGCAGCCCTGAGGAAAGGGATCTGGGGGTGCTGGTGGAGGAGAAGCTGGACATGAGCAGGCAGTGGGCACGTGCAGCCCAGAAGGCCAATCCCATCCTGGGCTGCATCAAAAGATGTGTTGCCAGCAGGTCCAGAGAGGGGATTCTGCCACTTTACGCTGCTCTGGTGAGACCTCACCTGGAGTATTGTGTGCAGGTCTGGAGCCCTCAATATAAGAAGGACATGGACCTGATGGAGAGGGTCCAGAGGAGGGCCACAAGGATGATCAGGGGGATGGAGCACCTCTGCTACGAGGACAGGCTGAGGGAGCTGGGGTTGTTCAGCCTGGAGAAGAGGAGGCTCCGGGGAGACCTAATAGCAGCCTTCCAGTACCTGAAGGGAGCCTACAGGAAGGCTGGGGAGAACCTGTTTAGAAAGGCCTGCAGTGACAGGACGAGGGGCAATGGCTTCAAGCTGGAGGGGAACAGCTTTAGACTGGATATGAGGAGAGGGTTCTTCACTGGGAGGGTGGTGGAGCACTGGCACAGGTTGCCCAGGGAGGTGGTTGAGGCCCCATCCCTGGAGATATTCAAGGAGAGGCTGGACGAGGCCCTGGGCAACCTGGTCTAGTTGGGGGTGTCCCTGCTGACTGCGGGGGGGTCGGACTAGATGACCTTTGGAGGTCCCTTCCAGCCTGGGCAATTCTATGACTCTATGATTCTATGGGAGCAGAAAGAGAAGAGTAAAATGCTCCCTGCAGCAAACCATGAGCAACACCATCCTTCTAGCAATGCAAGAACTCCTTCCCATCTCCTTCACACCAGACCTGTGGACACCAGGTTGTCCCAGAACAAGAGCAGAGCCAGCGTGGACACAGACAGAACAGGGTTAGCTCCAAAGGGTGCATTTGCACCCTGTGCTGATCACAATCAGGACATCAAGGAGTCACAGGACTTCCCACCAGCACCTCCAGCCAAAGGTTTGCCCTCAGCACACCGTGGTTCACCCAGAGCCATCCAAGAACAGCAGCTACAAATATATTCAGAACTTGTGGAGCTCCTCCACCTTCCAGAGCAAAGCATGTGCTGTGTGTGTGTGTGTGACAGCTTCTCTAGTGGAAAATACCAATGCCACGTGGCAGGGCTGCAGGCTCCCCGGGTGACCGGGACACTGCTTATTAGGAGGTGATGACGTGCCTGTTCAAGCTCTCATACCTCTGTGCTTACACCCAAGGATTGGGTTCCAGCTCATTCCCCCAAGAGACCAGAACTCGTTTTGGAGCAAGGGGAGCAACACCCACCTCCTCCCACCCCAGGAAACAGACGTGAGAGCCATGACCTGACCTCAAAACACTTCGGCAACCTCTGCTGAGGGTGGCTTAAATTACCAGTTTGCTTACAATGTGCTGCCCTGTGCATTCTGCCACCAGCTTTGAATGCCTGAGAGAGAAGGAGAGGTGCAGGAGCAGGAAAAGCAGTGCTGCAAGGCTCCCCCTGGCCAAAAATCATAGAATCCTTAAAGATCCCCTCCTTCCAACCCCCCTGCCACGGGAAGGGACACCTCCCACTAGAGCAGGTTGCTCAAAGCCCCGTCCAACCTCCAGGGTTGGGGCAAGCACTTCACAGAATCCCAGAATCTTCTAGGTTGGAAGGGACCTTCAAGATCATCTTGTCCAACCGTCAACCTAACTGACAAAAATAGACACCCACACAACAAACAAGGAGCATCATCACTAAACCATCCCTCCCAGCACTACATCAACCCAGCTTTTGAACACCTCCAGGGATGGGGCCTCAACCCCCTCCCTGGGCAGCCCATTCCAATGGCTGAGAACCCTTTCAGTGAAAAAGTGGTTCTTAATGTCCAGCCTGAACCTCCCCTGGGGCAACTTGAGGCCATTTCCTCTTGTCCTGTCGCCTGGGACTTGAGAAAAGAGACCGCCCCCCACCTCTCTACACCCTCCTTTCAGGGAGTTGGAGAGAGCAATAAGGGCTCCCCTCAGCCTCCTCTTCTCCAGGCTGAATAACCCCAGTTCCCTCAGCCTCTCCTCATAAGACTCCTGGTAAGGCTTTCCTTTTACTCCAAAGGACCATATCCTCAGCTGAAGATAGTCACTGACCTACACAAGAAAACCAGAAATGCTCTCTGTTTGTGTGTCTTGGTCTGATGCCTTACCACACAGAGGCACTGGCCTCCAAAAAGCTTGGCCAGCTGGAAAGGAAGTCTTTCCCTAACACATCTGCAGGTCACTGCCCAAGGCACAAGCACCACCACAGAGCAGAGAGGGGGCAACAGCAAGAGCAACAACCCTGGGAGGCTGCACTTCCAGCTGTTGCTTGACAAGTCCCCGTTCCCCGTGCCTGTTTATTCTCCTTTTGCAGAAAGAACAAGCTGAGCTCCCAGGCAGAGAGACCAGGAGGCCAGTCTCTCCCTGTCTCCAGGACAAGGAGCTGGATCCTTCCTTTCCGTGGTTGTTCAAGGACAGGATGCTGGCCACGGGGAAAACAAGTCCTACTACAGCTCTCCAAGATGTTTACTCCACACACACGCAACATCTTTACAGAACCTCGTTGTTTGATGTGACAGAAAGAATTTATCTGCAGTTTTTGATTAAACTCCAAAGGCAATGTCATCTCTCAGAGCTGTGAGGTTGGTTGCTGAGGCCTTACCTTTGAATGAGGGTCCCAAAGAGCAGGTGGAAAACCTTCTGGATGTTCTCCGTGCACAGCCAGCTCCAGTGATCCACCAACAGCAGACGGAGCACGTCCAGGGCCAGGTCAGCCAAAGCTGTCTCCGAGTCTGTCAGGAGGAAGAGGAGGGTCAGATGAAGAAGCCAACTCAGTGCTTAAGCAAACCTGGTGGAAACATCACCCAAAACTCACTTTTTTCCCCCCAACAGCCTCCCTGAGGTTCTTGTGCCCAGCCTAGCACCTTGTGCCACGTGCAGATGACCTGCTGTGGCACAGCTAGAATGGTGAGCCTGCCTTCCCACCTGCTGCCCTGATCTCTCTTTCATTTCCACCTCCATCCAAGCAGCCCCAATCTTCCTACCAAGGGGAAAACCAGACCAGAGCGTGGCTGCTCCGAGTGCTCAGCTCCTTCTCAATTACACTGAGGGGTCAATACTTGGACCCGTGCTGTTTAATATATTCATCAGTGACCTGGACGAGGGGACAGGGTGTATCCTCAGCAAGTTGGCTGATGATCCCAAACCGGGAGGGGTGGCTGACACCCCAGAGGGCTGTGCTGCCATCCAGGGTGACCTGGACAGGCTGGAGAGCTGGGCAAGGAAGAACCTCATGAGGTTCAACAGGGAAAAGTGTAGGATCCTGCACCTGGGGAAGAAAAATGTCAGGTACCAGTACAAAAGAGTCCAGCGTAGGGCTACAAAGATGATTCAAGGATTGGAGCATCTCCCTTATGAGGAGAGACTGAGAGAGCTGGGACTCTTTAGTCTGGAGAAGAGAAGGCTGAGGGGAGACCTTATCAACGCCTACAAGTATCTCAAGGGAGGGTTGAAGGAGGAGGGAGCCAGACTCTTTTCAGTGGTTCCCAGTGAGAGGACGAGGGGCAACGGGCACAAGTTGGAACATAAGAGGTTTCACTCAAATATGAGGAGAAACTTCTTCATGGTGAGGGTGCCAGAGCCCTGGAACAGGTTGTGGAGTCCCCTTCTTTGGAGATTTTCAAGCCCCGCCTGGATGCTCCTGAGTAACATGCTCTGACAAGCTCTAGGCAATCCTGCTTCAGCAGGGGAGTTGGACTAGATGATCTCTATGGTCCCTTCCAACTCTAAAAATTCAATGAAATTCAGTGAAATTATCAAACCACGTGGGGATCACAGTGTTCCCAAAACAGGTGACAAAAGTGGCAGTGACTGCACCCAGGAGAAAGGTACATTGGTGAGGACTATTTTCCTAGGTTTCACCAACACTTCCCGTTCTTCCAAGGTGCAGTTTTCCAGGCACAAGGCCCTGGATGGTGTTTACAGGCTGCCATCGTGTGGCAGACTTGGAAGTCTCGGCAGGAAGAGGGATGGAACCACATCCAGATTAACCAGACCCACCAGTTAAAACAAAAATCCCCACACATCCCTGGTGACACACACGTGGGACAGCAAAACCTCCCTCATACCCTCAGGAGGATGTCGAAGCCTACGGTGTAAACACGTTCTACTTGTTAGAGAATTAAATCTATGCTGCTTGGCCCCAAAGCATTGTGGGTTTTATGCAGAATAAGCTCATTATATACCACAAACCTGCCTGAGAGAACCTCTCCTAGGCCAGAGTATAAACCTGAAGCGACTGTGTCATCTCCTTTGGCAGATTGAGCCCCTGCACCACAGCCCCCCTGCTCTAACCTTCCCCAACACCTCATCTTCCAACCACTCTCTGCCAACGAGACCTATTCCCAAACCATTTACTGCTGGAGATAAAGAGGAGAGGGATTCAGCATGTCTCCTCCTCTCCTCCCCTGCTGCATACAATCTGGATTAATTAACTCCAGGCCATTTCATTTGGAAAAAGACAGAGGGCACGACACGCACAAGTTACACCTCGTTTGCTTTGCCCTCCGAGACTTGACTTCCCTGCACCCAAAAAAAATAAAAAAAAAAAATGGAGCAGGCTGTGTAGTTTCACCATAACCCCATACAAAAAGCATCATCGACAAGCTCTGTTTATTCCTGTAGCATCCAAGTCCCCTTCCTCGGAGAGCCCTCGGGCCAACCTCTTCCCAGAAGAGTCACCCAGTGAGCAGATATGGAAACCAGTTGCCTTTAGAACCAGACATTCATCCCCCTCGCCCTGCCAGACCAGCCTGCCCTGTCTCAGCTCTGAAGCATCACAGACCCGCAGGCATTTGACATCATTTATGTCAAATTTCCTTAAGATTTCAGCTCCTTTGGCCTGCTCCATATCTCTTGTGCTCTACCCAGAGATCTTGGCCTCCCATTCCAGTCCTGCTCCCCACAAGCTCCAGAACAAGGACAGTGTTTGAAGTTTCTAGGCAAAGCTGGTAGCACAGGCTGGGTTTCAGAATACCAGACCCATCCTGTCACAAGCACATGCTTTCAAGCAGAGCTTGCCAAACTCCAACCACTGGAGTGAAGTTTTTGGGAAGTTCCAGCTGATACAGCCCAACTATTCCAAGAAAAAGATTAGAAAACATATTTTTTTTTGCTCGTGTTCAGGATAATCGTGTAACCGCTCCGAGAGGCACCCCGAGCTTCAGAGGATGGATCTCTATTCAGAAAGGGAACATCATTCCTTGAATTGGGATTTGCTATTCCCACCAAAACTATCCAAACCTCACTGAACCTCAAAAAAAATCCTTTCTATGGACACATCAAGGCTGACGAGACTATCAAGAAATTGAAATTTGGCCATTTTGCAGTTTCTAAGAGCTCGATCTTTTAACATTTGCAGCTTAAGAAGCATGTCCTTCAACTTATTTGTGCAGCAACTGTGCTGAGTAAATCCAGGTGAAGATCTACAGTGACACAACTAAGCTAAGACCCAGTTTGCTTCCAATAGCCATAAAACCCAGAGAAATCACCAAACAGGGCTGGAAAAACTCCGTTTGCCTTCTTTTTAATCAAGGCACAAAAGGCAGGAGACCGGGTCCTCACACTGAAGGCCTTTCAAGCTGAGCCTGGAGATGTTGGAGCACCAAGAGTGACACAAGTGAAGCAGTAACAGAGGGGCTGAGCTCACCAGAGTCTGTGTCTGGATGTGTCCCCTGCTCCGACGTCCCCATGGAGCTTTCCTTCCCTTCTCTGCCTCCTTCTCCTTCAGGAGCTTTGCTGGGGACACTCTCCAGCAGCTTCTCCTGCTTCTGGATGAAGGACTCCATAGCAGCCAGCGACAGAGCACCAGAGACCTACAAAAAGAGCAGCATATCACTGGGGTGAGCTGATATATGAGCTCTCCACTACCCAGACAGCCTCCCACCACTTGGTTTGCACCTTTCTGTAGCCCACAACACAACTAGGGCTACTTCTTGCCTTTCTGGCAATGCAGGAACAAGGCTGAAGTAGCCACAACCTTCCTGCACATGGATTATTCCAGGCCAGCACCCAACCAGGGCAGTAATGAGGATCAGGGAGAGATTGCAAGAGGGATCTGGACTCACAGCAGTGCCTTCCCTGACAGAGTACACGATCCTGTCATGGGCTTCGTTCACATTCAGCACTGGAGCAATTTTACTGGATGAGAACCTCAGCCTGGACCTGAAGAAGAAAAGATATTGCAGAGTCAGGATTTTCACCACAAGGTGTGAGCGATGAGTTTCCCAGCCTCAGCCAAGGACCAGCATCTTGTCCAAGCTGAGAAGTTTGACGAGACCTAAAGTGGTTCAAAAAAAAGTATCTGCCCCCAGGATAATTGAGAGGTGGCAGTAAAACCACGCAACAAAAGTATCAGGAACAGCGTGGGGAGTAGGGCCTGAGAGGTGATTGTCCCCCTGTACTGGGCACTGGTGAGGCCTCACCTCGAGGGCTGTGTCCAGTTTTGGGCCCCCTACCATAAAAAA